TCACGGAGCCCGCTCTGCCCCAGCGAGGTGTTCTGCCGGGACGGCAAGGTGCTGCGGGAGGGGGACAGAGTGACCATGCCGCGGCTGGCCGACACCTACGAGACGCTGGCCTCCGAGGGCGCCCGGGCTTTCTACAACGGGAGCCTCACGGCCCAGATCGTCCGCGACATCCAGGCGGCTGGTGAGTGCGAGGGACTTCGCGGAGGGAGCCCTGAGCTGGGGCCCAGGGGTCTGGGGTCCTCGGGGCCGGCCTGGGCTGGGCACTGGGCTCTCAGGGACCATCTGGCTGGGGAGGGTGACAGGCCATGGAGCCAAAGCTCCCGGTGAGGTCAGAACTGAGAGAGATGGTACAGTTCAGGAGAGAAAGCTCCCCCACCCATGGCTCCCTGAGTGTGGGGGTGGGAAGCAGGTGTAGGCGTGAGCCAGGGCCCAGGAGGCACTGAAGTGCAGACCCCGGAGGCCTTCCTGGAGGAGGTGGTGCCTGAGCTCCAGGTGAGATCGCACGTTATAGGCAGAGAGAAGAAGGGTATTCCTGGCGGAGGGAACCGGCTAAGGCCTGGAGAGGCGATTTTACTTCTCCAAGAGGGCCACAGGGGCATGGGGGGGCAGAGGCTGCGTGCAGGGCCCTGGGGTTGGGACCTTGTGGGGCAAGTTCTGCTGGAGCCCCAAGTGACCTCTCCCGCCCTGAGCTGTGGCCTTCTTCCTATGTGCGTGTCCGGCGGAGGGGAGGGCGTGGTGGGCGGCGGGCCTGGGGGACTCAGGGCTCAGGGGTCGGCTTCCAGTAGAATCATGGGCTCCTCTAAGGTCAGAGCTGGGAGACAGAGCTCTTCATGGTCAGATGGAGAGGGACCGGGGCAGGGGTTTGGGCTCACGTCCCATGGGGACCAGAGGAGAGAGGCCCCGGCTTTGGGAGGGCCCAGGTGTGAGGGTGGCCTGGGTCGGCACTGGGGGCTTGGCAGGTGCTGGTGGCAGCTTGAGTCTCCTGGGACGAGAGGCGTGTGTCCTTGGAGGTGCAGACGGAGAGACGGCGTGTGTCCGGTTCCCCGCGGT